CAATGGAACAAGGTGTTGCTTAAGGATCTCCACTCTCCACAGACCTATACAACCTATACTCTTACGACATTAGCCCCCTTTTCCACTTTAACTCAGAACAATATATCCTACAGTTTGCGGACGACACCCACGCCAGAACCAGAGACAAGGCAGTCAAACAACTACAAAACTTAGTAAATAAAACGGTAGAATGGTTTGCTCGCTAGCGTATATCTCCTATCCCACCCAAATCGCAGTTTATCATATTTAACCACCGAACTACTGAAAACACAATAACTATACTAAATCATGAAATCAGTCCATCAAAATCAGTAAAATATCTGGGAATCACCCTAGACAGTAGATTAGACTTCAAAGCATACACTAAGATCATAAAATATAAAACAAAAGCCAGGGTTTGCCACTTCAGATCCCTAAGCTATAAAAATGAAGCCATTGATTTAGAAAACATCACCAAAATATACAAAATGATTTGTCGCCCAACCATTGAATATGGCTCCATCCTACTATCAACGTGCAAGGGCCAAATACGTAACAACATAGAAGTCGCTGAATTGTTATGCTGGCCACCAAATTCTCCTTGAATGAACACAACCTATCATTAATTGAGCCGTTCATCATCAACGGCGCTGCAACAAGAAAACGGAAATTTTCCGAAAAAACAATATGGGATCAGCTACAAGACTTAAAAAAATAATGCTTTTTTATTTAAATATAATTTTCTAATATTCTCTTTTTTACATAACTATTGTTTTCGATTCTTTTTTCTTTTTTATTACTGGTATTAATTGTAGTTTAATTCAAATAGTGAAAATCATAACATAATGTATAAGGGGCAAAATTTGACAAGTGTACCAGGTGAAAAAATTTTTGTCACCGATTTTGTTTAAACTTTACTTATTTGTTGTTCTTATAACGAAGAATCATACCATAAAATTTTTTTGCTCTAGGATTGTTCATTCAAAAGTTATGGATTATTGAAATTTATCGATTTTTTACTTTTTGGTGAAATCGCTTTTTATTTAAAAATTCATAACTTCTGTTCATCTCTTTATTAAATATTTCAATTTAACCACCTTAAATGATTTTTTCCGTACTTTTCAATGGGCATTACCGCTTTTGCAAAAAAATAAAAATTGCAATTTTTTTTTTGAAATTTTGCAAAATTTTGCATTTTTTGAAACAATGTGTATTTTTTTATTTTTTTTAAAATAGCATAAAATGCAAGTTTATTATGTTACCTTTGAATAAAAAAAAATTTAGAGTGGGCCCGACATGTAGAAAGGAAGTTTTTCATATTTGAATGCCGCACGGTCTAGCCATCGAATAGCTACTACACTGCCGTATGCGTTTATACCTAGTAGATGCGAGTAAACGAATAAAAAATGATAATTTTAAATGTAAAATTATGTTTGAGTAGTCAATGATGTATTTTAAATATTTACACTGCCGCACGATATAGTTTTTTAACTGTATTTTTTGCACAAATTGTTTAAGCATGGGTCTACATAGATTTCGCAAGGAGGATCGATGATATTAAATAAAAAATGTATTGTTATAACCGTAACGGCTTGCCTATAAGCTGAATGGCGCCTTTACGGTTATAACAATACATTTTTTATTTAATATCATCGACCCTCCTTGCGAAATCTATGTGTAGACCCATGGTTAAACAATTTGTGCAAAAAATACAGTTTATATACAAAAGTGCTCTTTTAGTTCCACCCTTACTTCTTAAGAAGTCCCATAAGCCAACTTAATGGCTTGTGCGGGTTAGGGGTAGGAACGGACCGCGGGCTTAAAGTCCCCTCCGAAGGACTAATACACAATAAAAAAACTATATCGTGCGGCAGTGTAAATATTTAAAATACATCATTGACTACTCAAACATAATTTTACATTTTAAATTATCATTTTTTATTCGTTTACTCGCATCTACTAGGTATAAACGCATACGGCAGTGTAGTAGCTATTCGATGGCTAGACCTTGCGGCATTCAAATATGAAAAACTTCCCTTCTACATGTCGGGCCCACTCTAAATTTTTTTTTTATTCAAAGGTAACATAATAAACTTGGATTTTATGCTATTTTAAAAAAAATAAAAAAATACACATTGTTTCAAAAAATGCAAAATTTTGCAAAATTTAAAAAAAAATTGCAATTTTTATTTTTTTGCAAAAACGGTATAGCTCATTGAAAAGTACGGAAAAAATCATTTAAGGTGGTTAAATTGAAATATTTAATAAAGAGATGAACAGAAGTTATGAATTTTTAAATAAAAAGCGATTTCACCAAAAAGTAAAAAATCGATAAATTTCAATAATCCATAACTCTTGAATGAACAATCCTAGAGCAAAAAAATTTTATGCTATGATTTTTCGTTATAAGAACAACAAATAAGTAAAGTTTAAACAAAATCGGTGACAACAATTTTTTCACCTGGTACACTTGGCAAATTTTGCCCCATAATTGTAACAAGCAGAAAGACCACCTTTTGGGTAATCAATAGAGTATTTTAAAATTAAATTAACATATTTTTGTTCACCTTAAATGCTCTTAAGTAAGTAAATTTCAATTCAATTTAAAATAATAATTAATGTGCAGAATATTGATCACTACTATTGCAGTTGACAAAGTAGCAAGTGATGTTTTATTATAAATTAATTGATTTTAAATGGTACACTGACACTGACATTGTACATAAAGTTGCTGCGCATCAATGTTTAGACTTCCGTGATCAATGGTTACTGTTTACTTTTTTTTTCGTGTACACTGCCTAATTCCATTGTTTGATATTTATTTAAATGACTTACAAGTGACAAACAGTCAAAGAATTGACCACAAAAAATTCGAACCTCAAAAGGCATACAAAAATGCAATCTAATATTACCAAACCATCTAAAGATTGCTTAGTCTGTTGTTCTACGTTGGATACATTTGAGCTGGAATTTTTTGCACTGTGTAATAACTGTTTTAAACATAATACAATTTCAAAAATAGGATATCGCAATAGATCGATTAACATAACTATACATGTTAATATTAAGCAAAATAAATGTTGAATGTTTAAAACAGACATAACAAAAAAAGTTGTTTGAAACGTTGTGAGAAATAGGGGATGGTGGTGTTAGTTGACTGAATTATGTTACAAGATAAAACGTGGGCAGTAAGAATACTAATAAAGTCCTACCTTGTTGCTGATGCTGATGACGACACTCAGGGCCCTGGTCTGGCAATTAGGCTTTAGCGTTGGTTTCAAGCGGTTGAGATGCACAAGCGGGATAAAGCGGGTGTAATGTCGCGTGGTAGATCACTGTCGTTCGCGGGGATGCTTGCGGTTCGAAATCTTATTTCTTAATACACTTACGCCCTCACGCGGTTAAATGGGTAATTAAAAATAGTTGCGATAAACATGCGCGTTGGGGGGCAATAAGCTAAATATAATATTTAAATAAATGTAATCAAATTAAACAAATATTAAACATTTCGCGAAGACGAAACAATAATACCTATCTAAATAGATGGATTAACTTAAATATTTATTGATACGATGTTATTGTATGGATTTTACTACGTATAAAAACTATAAAAAATACCATATGTGTTTTAAAAGCTTTTTATATTAAATATTGTTCATTAAGGCAATTAAAAAAATGCAGGTTACATATCAACTACCTCTTTATCTGACAGGTGGGCCATAAATTAGATATGCTATAAGCTTTTTGACATTATTGAGCAATAAATCACCTATTATCTGACAGATGGGGTAATAATTTAGATACGCTTATAGCTTTTTTACATTAATGGGCCAAAAATTAGATAAGAACCTTTGTCAGGAAAAGTCCATGTTATTCAGGGTATATTAGAAGTGTTGTCTTTCAGTTATCATCAACGGGTTTTAGTTTTGAAGTTACAGAGTATTTATATTTATTTTTTAATAATAAGAAGAGATAAGAATATTTAATTTTAGCAGTTGTTTTATTTTGATAATCCTATTCTGCCATTTTATAAGATTAGATCCTTTACATGTGTAGGCTGTCTAAAAACTAGTATTTGACAAAGTTTCATATAGGAAAAAGTTCAAATGGATACAAATAAAATGCAATGAAGAAATTTAGTTTAAAATAAAAAGCAAATTTTAAAAATACCACAATATAATTATACTATAATATTTTTTAATAAAACCCTATGAGAGCATTAAGAGGGATTGACAAAATGGCTGGAGGTAATTTTACTTATAAGCTAATTAGCTAAGTTTTTAGATGTAAATATTACTAAAACCTTATAATACTATTTTATTCCACAAAATAAGTTAATTTATAATATAAATTTGAAAATGTAATAAATTAAATAAATTCAATTGTCAGAACTAAAAACGCGGTCAATATTTATTTTTCCATTCTCTGAAGGTTGCGCTAATGGTATTGTTGATGCATGTAAGCATACGTTCGCGACACATGGAATACCAAAAGAAGTAGTGGCCTATAACATATACCTCAATTCACTGCAAACAATTCGCCAGGCTTTAAGTTTTTTTCGTCTACTCCTTAATATCCTAGATAAAATGGATTGGCCGAGCATGCAGTACGAACAGCGATTTTCATATAGCTTTGTTGGAATATAGAAATCAACCAGTTGAAGGGACAGACAAATCACCAGCTTAAATGTTACTTAAGGAAAGTAAGAACTAAATTACAAACAGATAAATTACTTACTACTACTATATTACAACCAGAAAACAAGAACAGGAGAAAGATTTAAGAAAGACAAAAATGTGATACTAAAAGATAGTAAAAATTGGATTCCAGCAAAAAATAGTAGCAAAGGCGAGGATACCAAGGTCATATTAAGTACAAAAAATATAAATAAATATTAACCATCAAAGAAAATCGTACATCTAACCAAACTCAAAACTTTTAAATTTTACATTCCAGCCGTTTTGAGCAAATATTTTTTTTGGCTTATCTTCTTGTAAATAGAAATAGAAATAGAAATAGAAATGGAAATGGAAATGGAAATGGAAATGGAAATGGAAATGGAAATGGAAATGGAAATGGAAATGGAAATGGAAATGGAAATGGAAATGGAAATGGAAATGGAAATGGAAATGGAAATGGAAATGGAAATGGAAATGGAAATGCAAATGGAAATGGAAATGGAAATGGAAATGGAAATGGAAATGGAAATGGAAATGGAAATAGAAATATCTTTATTAGTTCAAAAAAGATTGTATAACAATAACAGAGAACACGTGAGAACAAAAAACAAAATATAAAAAAACATAAATAAACATATATGTAGATATAAATATTAAATTAACACTTGCTTAATTATTATTAACAAATACATAGTATAAAAAGTATTCTTTTACACATTCAACAACATCATTTACATACAATAAAAACAATAATGGTTCTAACACAGTCCCTTGGGGCACTCCATAATCAACATTTAATAAATCTGACAAACAGTTTTTAAATTTGACCTTTTGTTTTCTGTTTGACAAGTAAGAGTGAAACCAGTCTTTTGCTGTTCCGTTAATACCTAAGGAACTCAGTTTGTTTAGCAAGATATTTCTGTCCACGGTTTCAAACGCACGTCTCAAATCCAGGAACACAGCCAAAACCAAATTTTCCCCATCAATTTGCCTTATAAATGTGTCACATATATTCACAACCACGGACTCACACGAATGACGAAGACGAAATCCTGATTGATTGGGTACTAACAGGTTATTTACATCACAATGCTGTTGTACTTGTTCCTTAACTGCCAGTTCTAATACTTTTTCGTAGGTTTCCACGGTGTTAATCGGTCTGAATTCATTTATTTGTTTAGTATTTGGCACTTTTGGTACTGGAATGATTGTGGATATTTTCCATGCTTCAGGAAATGTATTTATTATATCTAGCAACCGATTTCCAACTGCCAAGCATGCATCGCATAACACTTGTTTCGATATTCCATCGTCTCCTCCACCTACATTTTTCATCGACCTTAGTATTTTTTTTAAGTCACTCATTGACAGTGATTTAAAATTCAAGAGTTCATGTTGCACCTCATATTTATTGTTTTTCACCTTCTGTACTTTTGGAATATTTTCTATTATGTCTTTAATACTACTTACATAATAACTATTAAATTCTTTGTCTATCTCCAAATTTGATGTAAATATTTTATTTTCAAATTGTATTTCTTCTGGCAGTTTAGAGTTTTTTTCAGGTAGCAACAATTTTAGATTCTTCCACATCTCCCTTGAATTACTTTTATTATTATCTATAACACTTTTATAAAAGAGTTCTTTTTCATATTTTATTTTCTGTACAACATGGTTTCGAGTTTGTTTGTACTCTGCCCATATATTTTCATCTTTTTCCCTAACCGCTCTTACATATAATAAATCTCTTTCTCTCATTTTTTCCTTTATCTCAGTGGTTATCCACTTTTTGTTTAAGTGATTTGGTCTAATATCAATTTTAATTTTGGGACACATTATATTAACAATATTTTTTAAATCTTTAACAAATACATCAGCTAAGTCGTTTACATTATTGGCATTGTTGTCCCACTTACTTTTCCACAAAAAATCATGTAGAACATTTGCATTATAATTCTTAGTAGCCCTGCTGTAGACACTCGTTGTTGTATTATTAATATTCTGTGGAAGGTGTATGGATATAATGGAATGATCCCCAATTCTGGGTGTTTGATGGACGTTACAGGTTATATGTTTGTTATTTGTTATCACAAAGTCAATAAGGGTAGCACTTTTATCTGTCACTCTTGTTGGGTCCTGAACAATTTGCATCAGCCCATTGCTAAACGAGGCGTTTACAATCTTCTTTCCATAATATGATTCCTTTAAGAGATCAAAATTAAAGTCTCCTACAATGACATTGATACCATCAAATACACTGATTTTGTCAATGTAGTTTTCAAAAAACTCTAAGAATTTTGGGTCATTGGTTTGGGGCGGATGATATAAGACAGTAAATAGATGTTTTACCCGAGAAACAGAGACTTCAATCGATACCATCCATACAAAGTTTTGTACACACTGTATATTACCACGTCTATATTTAATGTCATTTCTTATCAAAACAATCACGCCTCCAGTTCTCTTATTTTCCGAAACACACTGTTCAAGTTGGTATCCTGCAATGTTTAGTTCACACAAATTAATGTCTGAACACACATGAGTCTCACATAGGAGAACAATTTTAGGGCACCATTCAATTACAAGAACATTTATAAGGTCTTTATTGTTTAAATAGCCCCGACAATTAAAGTACACAATGCTATCGTTTAAATCAATTTGTTTATCTAATTGCTATTATATGGCTAAGAGGAGTAGCTATAGCATTAGCACACCTTTTAATTATGCTTGTTGGAATTTCGTCCCACCCTGTAGATTTCTTGTTTTTAGGATTTAAGATAATTGAGTAAGTTTGATTCAAGTTGAGTGATATTACAATTTAAGCTTGTAACCGGTAAGTTCAAGTTGTACAATATAAGCAAAGAATGAATTAAATTCATCAGCCACATCCTTTGGTTTATCAATTATACCGTTTTTAGACTCTAAAACAATATTAGAGTTTTTTGGAGATAAATTTTTATTTTTATTTATAAGGTTCCACATTTGTTGTTGATTATTTTTTGCATTTTTAATTAATTGTTTGTTATAGTTAAATTTAGCGAGACATATCTTATTTTTTAGTGTTGGATATACCCTTGAATTACAGTTTATGATGTTTTGATGTAATTCACGTTTAGTTTTAGAGAGCTCTCTTATTTCACCATTAATCCAATAGTGTTTATTTATGTTATTACCTTTCTTAAACATTTTTTTTTTCGGAAAATAATTATTAAAACCATTTTGAAAAATATTATGGAATATATTAAAGCATTGATCAACTTCCAGACAACTATATACATGACCCCAATCGAGTTCGGATAAATGTTCAATAAACTTTTGAATATTAGCTTCACTATATACTCTTTTAAAATATGTTTCTTTATTAGAGGGTTTCATACAAATTTTATATATAAATTTGATTGGATAGTGATCTGATATATCTGATTTTATTTTAGATGAGTTATAACAGGAGAAATTTATATTTGTAAATAAATTATCTATTTGAGTATTAGACTTATTTGTTACTCTTGTAGGCATATCTATAGTTGAATGTAAGTTAAGACTTTCAAAAAGAGATACAAGCTTTTTTCTATTTTGACAGGTAACATTTAAAAAATTGACATTAAAGTCTCCAAACACTGCTATTGCTTCATTTTTTTTAGTTATAAGGTTCAACATAATATCTTCAAAGGCTGATAAAAATTCCAAAAAATTTGAGGAAGGAGATCTATAAACGCACACAAGAAACAAATTATATTTAAACATTATTTTAAACCTTTAATTTTATAAAAACTGGAATAAAAATCGATGATATTTTATATTGACAAACCAATGACAAACCATAAATAATAAATTTGTTTCTTGTGTCCTCTCTTACTTTTTTGAAAAAAATTACGAGCTAATAAATTTATAGTAAAAATTGTATTTTTTTATTGAGGTAATAATAACCTCTCTTGGCAGGCGCGTACGCAGGGGGGCAATGGGGGCAATTGCCCCCCCAGACGAAACGCGGTATCCTTACAATGCCGAATTTAAAAAACTAAAATTTATATCATATTGTTACTAAATTCATTATTACTGTAGTAGATAAAAATATTTATAAATAGTTATATATATATATAGATGTAGCTATTTTGATTATTATATATTGTGTAATCTTTAATTACATAAATATAACTATATATTTAACACGTTTTTGTACAGTGTCATGCACAATTAAAAAGCAGATTTATTAAACATAAAGATTTGTTGTCATCATTCGCACTGTTGGTTCCACAGAAATCCGACAGAGTTATAGAAGAGGAGCATATTTCTAAAATTTTCAATTGACTACATTTTATCACCAAGAGTGCAATAATCATGCAGTTTTGACAGCAGAACTTGAATTATGGAATTATGGAATTATGGAATCCGGTAAGCAGTGCAACAATTGAAAGAAGCTTTTCTGCACTAAAATTGCTTAAAACTTATCTTAGGAATACTATATGTTCATCCTAATATAAAAATTTCCATGGAATAGGTCTTAAATGAACTCCAAAAAAGAAAAAAAAGGATTGACATTATTTTGTAATTTTTTCAATATTTATTTTTATTTAGTTTAAGACATGTGGAAAAGTGGCAATTATTTTATACCAAATATTTTTGCATAAATCAAAAATTTTAACTTTGTGCTGTATAAAGAGTATTTATTTAATTTTTTTTTGCAATACATAATGTAAAAATAAAAAATAATATGTCTTATTAGTTAACTTAGCACCTCCCCCAGCACACAATCCTGCGTACGCGCCTGTCCCTTGGAGTTTATAATTTGTTGAAATTATTAAAAAAGCAACATTTATTTAATTTTTTACATTAAAATATTGCTTTGTAACAATTTTAAGAATTTTAAAATTGATAAAACACGCAAAAAATCTTAAAGCTTTTTTAAAAATAGATAAAATATACTGCAAAGAATTCTAGTATAAATTAAGACAAGGGTCGGACCTATAACTTGCACAATATAATAATAATAATAATAATAATAATAATAATAATAATAATAATAATAATAAATGTCTTTATTTATTTTTTAAATTTCTGAAATTACAAAACTTACAAATCTGGGCGAAGTTCAGATGGATAAAAAATTAGTTTTCTAAATATGTTAATAAACGTGTCACTTTAAAGTTATTGTGTTTAAGTAAAGAACCTAAATTAATATATTATAAAATTAATATATTTTGAAAGCTTACAACAAAACTTTATTTTTTATTTAATTTAAATAACTGGAAATGGAAATTTATAAAATAAGGCTTTATTAAAAAATATGTTGTTTATCTTATGTTTTTAGGTGGGAGAGAAATTTAGAAGTAGATCTCTTAGATTTCCTGCATTATTATCAGGCTGTACGATTGACTGGTTTCAACCTTGGCCAAAAGACGCTCTTGTATTAGTGGCGAAACACTTTTTGTACGATTTTGAAATAGCTTGTACTGAAAAAGTTAAGGATGAATTGGTAATTGCATTGGGCTCTATACAAGATATTGTTTCTAAAAAATCAAACGAATATTTTCAGAGGTAATATAAATTAAAAAATGAATTTTTAAAAAAATCCAAAGCCGGCCATAAACGAGTTTTTTTGTTGTGTGACGTACATGTTTAAAATATTTTGATAACACACTAGCAAAAATACAACGTGCAAGCATGTACGACATACCTACATGTATGACAGGCATATATGCTAGTCTATGACCGGCTTAATTGATCATTTTAACTATTGTAGCCATAATTTTTTAAGCGTTGCGTCACGTTTTTTGTTTTGCAGATAATACGATGAAAATAAGTTAATAAATGTTTTGGGGCAAGTATCGGCCGGGCCCCCACGATGTTAGGGCTTCGCGGTACTGTCGCTACGCCACTGAGCTCTACAGCTTCCGCTAGGACGCATTTCCAGCGCACATGAATGAGTAAAAAAAGTTGTATATTTCAAAAGGAAATGCATATATAACGACGGGCAAAATGGCACAAGCGCCAAATTTTTCGAAAAATTGTTTCGAAGTACAGGTTGATAGAGAATTAAATTCTTTAGCTAGAGCTCTATCGACCTGTAACAAATTTTTAAAAATTTTGGCGCTTGTGCCGTTTTGCGTTAAACCCATTGATATATATATATATTAATATATATATTTATTCTGTTTTGATATTGGTATTGGTATTGGTGGTTTTCCGGGATCTGCTCCGTGTTGTCGGTTTTTGGTTCTTAAAATAACCGTATGTCTGACGACGTCGTCAGACATACGGTTCTTCTAAGAACCAAAAACCAAAAACCGACAACACGTATCAGATCCCGGAAAACCACCAATACATACAGGGTGTTTCTTTTAACTTGAGACAGCTCAATATCTCGAGAAATACGCATTTCACGGAAAAATGTCTTAAACATTTGTTATAAATTGTTTTCAGAGCCGTTGTTGATTTAATGTTAATTTTTGTTTTTCAAACGTTTCAAATAATACATTTTAAAGGAAACCCATTTTTCTTAAATTTTGAATTACAGCGCCATCTGTTGATAAATTAAAAAAAGTTTCAAATTCATTTTTTTATGTACTACCAAAATCTGTGAAAAAAATTGAGTCATCCCATTTGACTTTCCAAAGTTACCCCTTAAAGAGGGTAGGGGTGGCTAGCGGTAGCACCAAATAATGTCCCCTTTGGTCACATTAACCTTTTTTTTAAGAAATGTGTGTTTCTTGAGATATTGAGCTGTCTCAAGTTAAAAAAATACCCTGTATATATATATATTATATATATATATATATATATATATATTTTGTCGAATTACCGCGCGAATTTTAAAATTTGAGTTTAAGTGCAATATAATAAATTATATATACAGGGTGTCCCGAAATTAGGGGGCCAAACTTAAACAGTGCATTCTTTATAGAAAAATAACACTTTTTTGTTTAATAAACATATATCAAAAAATGCCCCCTAACGGAGCTACGCCCCCCTAAATAGGAGCTTAAGAGCATCATTTTTTTAAAACTATTCCTAGAGGGTTGAACATGAAGACCTGAATTTTTGGGACTTTGCTAATTTTGACATTCTGAATCTGGATCTATAATCAAAACTGTTAAAATTTAATCATAGGCGTAACATTTGAGGGGGCAAATTTATAAAAACAGCCCCAACTTTTTGCAGAGTGAGTATTTTAATGTTTTGTTATAAAATTATGAAAATGTATAATTTTTCACGAAAAATAGGTACTCTTGCTTTGAATCGCTCAGATGCACCATTTTCGAGAAAATTGCAATTTAAATTACTATGCTTAGCATAATTTCTAATATTTTCATTAATGGCTTTGGGACAAAAGTGACGTTTGGGTTATTTGCTGACTTTACATTTATTTTTATAGTTTAGTTAATATTTTTTGGCTCGATTTTTGTTATTTTTTATTATGGAGCGATTTTCCAAATTTTAACACAAAATTTTAACGAAAATATGAGATGTGCATGCTATGCAGAGTAATTTATAAATGCATTTTTCTCGAAAATGGAGCGATTCAAATCAAGACTACTTATTTTTCGTAAAAAACTATAATTTTTCATAATTTCATAAAAAAAAATTAAAATATTATCTCGGAAAAAAGTTGGGGCTATTTTTATAACTTTTCCCCCCCAAATGTTACGCCTATGGTTAAATTTTAACAGTTTTGATCTTAGATCTTGATTCAGCATCTAAAAATTACCAGAGTGCCAAAATTTCATTTCTTCATGTTTAACGCTCTAGGAATAGTTTTAAAAAAACTATTCTCTTAGGCTCCTAATCAGGAGGCCGTAGCTCCGTTAGGGGGCATTTTTTGATACATGTTTATTTAACAAAAAAGTGTTACTTTTCTATGAAGAATGCACTGTTTAAGTTTGGCCCCCTAATTTCGGGACACCCTGTATATATATAATGCAAGTATTCAAAATAAGAAAATGCTTATTAGTTCAGAGAGTGATTTATACAAATTATCCAATCCTGGGGGTAGTGGTAATAATGGTGATACAAACCGAAATAGTGCTTACAATAATATTAGTGATATCAACCAAAATAGTGATGAATAGTCATAATAGTAAATTTTCTATTGCGGCATTAAATGTAAGTTACCTACATGATGTTATATTCCTGCTGTTATTTTTCAACAACTATTTCTCCAGTATATTATTTGTATGTTATAAATATTGCAACTATGCTAACATAATTTACTAGGTTATTTTAACTTGGTCACAACCTTTATTAAATATTTAACTTTTTTTTCTACTGGTTAACACCTATGCACGCAACCGTTCTGCTCTGTTTATCAACCTTTTTGTTTATCGTTACATATATACAGGGTGTTTCATAATATATGCGCAGGACTTCAGGATGTGATAGCTCATCCAAAAAGATGAAAAAAGTCGCTATTAAGTTACGCTCTAAAATGCACAATTTTCGAGATACAGGGTGTTGAAATTTTAGAAAAAAATTCGTTTTTTTCGAATATCTCCGGAACCGTTTATCGTACAAAAAACAGCTTTTGTAAGCATTTTCTACTCAAAATAAGCTATGTTTTGTGCTAGAAAAAATTTTTTTTTCCTTATAATTGGTGGAGATTTTGAAGGGGTAGCGGGTGTTTTTCTCCTCAACTTCTACGTCCCTGAAAAAAGTACGGTTTTGAGAGGACAATTCGAACCGCCAATGTTTTCTACACAAAAAAGGTACTCCTGGTCATAAGCTCTAAAGTTGACCGTTTTCGAGAAAAATCAACTTTTATGTTTAAAAACATGGTCAATTTAAAAAAAAATATTTTTTTTTTACTAGTTAAACAAAATTTATTTTAGCGTTAGGACAAGTAACAAAACCAAACCATAATTGCAAAATAAAAAATGATTTAAAAGTTGTCTTTGCTTAATTCTCCAAACCGTAAAGGTAACGCATTTCGCACATTTCAGCATTTGAGTAAAAAATCATTTTTTATTTTTTTTTTAATTTTGCAATTATCGTTTGGTTTTGTTACTTTTTCCAACGTTAAAATAAATTTTGTTAGTAAAAAAAATTTTTTTTTTTTAAATTGACCATGTTTTTAAACATAAAAGTTGATTTTTCTCGAAAACGGTCAACTTTAGAGCTTATGACCAAGAGTACCTTTTTTCTGTAGAAAACATTGGCGGTTCGAATGGGCTTCTCAAAACCGTACTTTTTTCAGGGGCGTTGAAGTTGAGGAGAAAAACACCCGCTACCCCTTCAAAATCTCCACCAATTATGAGTAAAAAAAAATTTTTCCTGGCACAAAACATAGCTTATTATGAGTAGAAAATGCTTACAAAAGCTGTTTTTTGTACGATAAACGGTTCCAGAGATAATCTAAAAAAACGATTTTTTTTCTAAAATTTCAACACCCTGTATCTCGAAAATTGTGCATTTTAGAGGGTAAGTTAATAGCGACTTTTTTCATATTTTTGGATGAGCTATCAGATCCTGAAGTCCTGCGCATATATTATGAAACACCCTGTATATATATGTTATATGTGATAAAATGATGACACCATATACTTCACGAGAGTCATATTTCGTTATCTAATCGGAGAAGATAACAAGGTATGGAATTCTCTGGGAAATGCAACTCTTCATTTATTCAACGATGAGAACCCTGAGACAACACGTACAACATATTTTAAAAACTTATAAATAGGAATGTCTTTGCTTTGTTAGTTTAGTATTATACTCAGTCTTGTAACATTAAGTACTAAATAATTTTATATTGTAATTTTTGTGTTTAAATAAATTTGTGCTTTTTTTTTAAAGTGAATTTTAATAACAAGAAGATAAAAATTGGCGCAGTCGGTAGGATGCCTTTCACACGTTTAGATCGAGGAAACTAACTGGACGTGGTGGTTCCCAAACCTTTAAAAGGAAGAACTACGTGCACCCACAAGAATTTAAGAAAATTGAAGAAAACAAGAAAAATACAGTCAAGAATCCAATAGACGGTCTCTTCGGCGTTGGTAACACGTATACACTCACCTGGCGTAGCAAGGCTCACGAAGGGGGATTTCATCTATGGACAAACTACTGTAAGAATCATTACGTTATTATTTTTATTTTTCGCGATTTTAACAAATCATTCGATTTATCGTAATTTTAAGAACATTTCTTTTATCAGAAATATTTCCCAATAACAATTTCCCTTAACCTATTTTAATTTTATGCCAAGAACAAGATCAAGCAGAATGCCTCAAAATAACCCAAATAACGCAGGCAATGCTGCTGCTGCCGCTGGCGCGGTAGAACCTTATAAATTAAGCGAAATATTTTCAGTTGTACCGGAGTATGTAGCACTGCTTTTAACATGGCTATAGGCAACCAAAAAGTTTTAGTTACTTTACAAATTAAAAACAAGTTAAAAGGCCGTGCTGCTGAACTTATAAATTCTCGCGAACCTAAAACCTGGCAAGAAATTAAAACCTTGCTTGAAAATCATTTTGGTGACACACGCGATCTCACCTCTTTAATTCAAGATCTGCAAAGATTAAAACAATCTTCTAACGAATCTCCTTT